TACATTACTTCTATAATGTGGGGACCAGAACTGCATACAATATTCTGAGTGTGGTCTTTAGCAGTTTACTGTAACTTCCCTGCTTTTCATTTCTATCCTTCTAGAAATGAACCCCAATGCCTGGTTTGCTTTTTTATGGCCTTATTAACCTGCGTTGCTACTTTTAGTGAATTGTGTATGTGTACCCCAAGGTCCCTTTGCTCCTCTACCCCATTTAGGTTTTTATTTTCCAGGATGTATGTGGATATAATAAGGGACAGTGAATCTCTTTTGTTTTCCACAAAGTATAAGATGTGCTTCAATCAGAAGACAAACTGGTCCATATGGTATGAGGGAGCGGCAGATCAATCATTATCTGACTGAAGGTAGGTTAACATTTTGGTTGTGACACTTCATAAAATGAAGAGAAAATATTCAACTTTCTTTCTATTTCACGTATGGATTGATGGTTTTGTGCATGTGACGTATTTTCTATTTTTAGCATTTGAGGATTTGTTTTCGATTTCCATTTATCAAACTCACTGACTACAGTACATACAATATAAAAAAATTAACACAATAATGACAATTTTTGCATTTGATATAGTGCCTTATCACGTCATTGAGACGTCTCAAAGCGCTGCACAGAATATACTGTAAATTGAATTTGACTATATATTTTGTGGGCGAAATGTTACAACCAATTACACACAGCAGGTCTTACAAACATTCGTGGATTGAGTGACCAAATTATTATTTTTTTTTAAAACATGAGTTTGCATACAACATGCTGATCTTTATATATAAGAATACTAGATTCCAGATTTTGCTATTAAGCAGTTGCAAGTCTCAACTACTTGCGAGTGTAGTCATTAGATACAGATACATTTTACTCAAATCCTACTCTCAAAAATGTATTCTTCATTAGCAACATAACTTCTTTGTTTTTCAAATAACTATTTTTTCCAAATTGGAGAACATAAAAAAAACCTGGCTTTCATCATACATTTAGGAGATATGCACAAATGATATAACATATCCGAGCCATTGTTTACCTTTTACCTTAAAAGCATTCTATTTTCCATTAAACAGCTCCTTATTTGTACTGGTAAAGCCTTCAAACCATACCAAACAGGAGCACCCCAGGGATATCTGAAGAGCTGAACCAACATTGGTCTGTGATTACAGTGGCAATGATGTTCACAGTATTTAACCAAGTGAATGGCTCCCTGCTTAGTTTTTATGAGGCTAAGTGCCAGTTTGCTACAGATGCTGCACATCACTCAGGTTGCAAATCTGAATGCTGACAGCGAGCAGGTCGTAGCAGCTGCTTGGTGGAGGATGCACTGTTGTTCTTCTATTCTTCTCTCATGCATGCCTAGCAGGTTGTAGGCAGCCTCACTGACAGGTCCTGAATGCACTTGGAAAGCGCTTTGAGTAGCTGTAATGTTCTCCGTCATTGAATGGGGGTAGGGGAGATGTCACTCCAGGAGATAAAACATATGCAGTAGAACCTATTTATTGTAAATCTTGTTATTACTAACTTTTCTTTGCAGCCTAAAGAAAATTAAGAAAATGTGAAATTATACAAACCAGATAGCAAATTGTCTCTGAGTGTGAGAAAGCAATTTGCACGTTCTGTAGTCCTGTTGATATTAGATTACAGTGTATCTTTTTATATGTGGTGGAGGTTCAGTACTGCTGCAGTACTCAATACAAGAAGAACATTTGGCAATTGAAAGGTATAATCTAGGGATTTACTTTTAGTTCAGCTAAATTAAGGGTATTACATTGAGTTTATTCCACTCATGAGAAAGAACTGAGAAACATATTACTTGAAAGATATTCTACTATTTTTGATCATATATTTAACTGTATTCCATTGTGTGTTCTATTTATACAACATGCAAGGGCATTTTACATGTGGCACATGGCACACGAATTCTATTTAGTATTGGTGGGTATTGGCGTACAATGTATTTTAATATTCCTTATTAAGTTATGTGAGCTGTCTCTTCTCTCTAAATGGGAATAAATCATCACCTACAAAATTCTCTGAATGGGAATTAAGCGTTTAACTCATGGGACTGAACCAGTGAGTCACAAAGTTAATATGATTATTTAACTCTGTAACAAAATGATTAAATCTAATTTTCAAATTTGCCATTGTCTGGGTACAGAAAAAAGACTAGCCTGTTTGTTATTGATTGAGTTCTGAATAACAGTAGTAATACTTAAACATAACAGATTGCTCATATGGGTAGGTATTTCTCAAAGAGACAATATCCACAATTCAAACGACATGGTAGGTCACCTCCATGAATCAGATTTTATATTTTTCATATCCAAAGTATAAAATATCTAATATCTATACCTTTAGCACTTTGGTGGGGGGATTCATAAATAACATTACTAGAACTACTCATCAATCCATGCATCAATTTAGTTGCCATTCAAAATTAAAATCTAACTTTTACTATGTCATTTTAATTGCTATATGAGAAGAATACACAATGGGGAGCTGTAGAATGAAATCTTCAACCCATTCATTGCCCTGATCACATCTTCATCGTCAAGAGATCATTCCACTTTGCTATAATTATTATATCATATGGCTTGTCATCCTTTACGCACATATGTGGAGAACTGTAGCTTAGTGGTTAGAGCACTCGCCTCGCAAGCGAGAGGACCTGGGTTTGATTCCCAGGCAGGGCAAGTTTCCTTACTCCACATGCCTCTGTTTACCTAACATTAAGTAGAATCCCGATTATTAGTTGATTGGCGGATCGCTTTCCTGGGGGTAATAATCTCTCTAAAAAAAATTAAATAAATAATAATGATAAATTGGTCACTCAGTCCATGACTGTTTGTTGGACACTGCATCGTGCAATTGCCTGCCACATTTTACCCACAAAATATACGGTCAATTCACTTTACAGTATATTCTGTGAAGTGTTTTGAGACGATTCAAAGACATGATAAGGCACTATATCAAATGCAAAGATTATTATTCCTATTCTTATATGGGGAAAAATTCCACCTGAGTCGAGATTTACTCTGCTAATGTACCATTTCAAAGTGTGTACAATTTGGCAAATTGGTGAATTCAGTTTTAACTTTGGAACCTGTTTTCTGCAGTTCTTAAAAGTAACTTACAGAAAACTGCTTCAAAATTAAGAACTGCATTTAAAAATGTAATACATTCTGTACACTCTAAAATATTACTTTAACAACAACGTGCTTTTATATAATGCCCTTCACACATTGTACCATCTCAGAGCTTAATAGTGATGGAACTCAACGCCGAGCCAGGGAGAGAGGGGAGGTGACTGTAGGCACGGTCGAAAAGGAAGATCTTCTGGTGTGATCCGAAGATGGACAAGGAGGGGACTGGCAGAGAGTTCCAGATGTGTCAAGCAGATGTGTTATTGTACTTTAATAGAGTAAATCTAGACCCTGGTGGTGGAATTTCTAACCCAAACTGGTTCAACCCCCACCTGAATTCACAGTCATTTTGAGTTGCTGTGAGCTGATTCATTTCAAACTGTTTTGAAATCAAAGACCGCAAGACATTTTGATTTATATATTCCTTCCTTATGGAAATATTTAGAGTAAAATAAATCCAAAACATGAGTGCGAGTCTGCAGCACCAGTTACGGTCTGCTTCAATAAACCCATAACGATTGCAGAGTTACAAAATGTTACTTTAAAGCGCTTAAAATAAAATACACATTTGGTAAAACCTGCAACTCAGAATAAGTATAAACATGTTTCCTTGCATTTCAAGCTAGCAGACAAGGTGGCCAATGAGAAATATAAGAAAAAATCCTGTAACTATAACACAAAGTATGGGACTCGAAACTGAGAGAAACAAGTTTAGCTCAATCAAGTTACAATAGTTATTTCAAGTCAGATTGCTCCTGGGGCAAGTTTTCCTATTTCATCCGAGTCCCCTGGGGAAGCATGGAAAACTCATAAAGGAAGAATTTCTGCTCTGCTCATTCATAGCATTTGTGAAGTATATTGAGTTTTTCTCCATCTAAAGAGATTGTTGCTCTTAAAATGCACGGTATTAGAAAGTAAAATAAAATACTATCTGGAACATATTAAATACTTGCAAGTAAAATGTAAATTTTAATTGCTGAATACATTAAGATGAAACAAAAATCAAATGTAATAATCTGTAATAGGACAATAAATTTGATCTAGACCTTTATTTTGTAAAATTAAAAATGGATGTGCATGGATTTAAAAAAGACTCATATCACACTACCAATTACTTATTTTATTAAGAACATGAAATATTCAAACCCTGTGGAGTTATTTTTACTCTGGAGGCAAAAGTACCAGGGATAACATCTCATTTTTCAAAGAAGTGTTTTGGTATATTTAAATATCATGATCATATACATATATAATAAATATATAATGAATACATTATATATAATATATAATAAATAATTGAGACGATATAAATCAAGATATAGACAGCTCTGGCAAAATAAACTTCAAAATTGTTTCTAATTTGAAATCATAAAATAGAATGAGCAAAAACGTATCAACAAAATGTTTTTCAAAATTCACATTTACATTTTAGAATTTATTATCCACCCATCTGAATAGCCTTCACTTCATGCACCTAACAGGTGCGTAGACATTTACCTCACTCAGACTCAGAGCACTCAAACACTACCAGAATGACTTGTAACTGAGAAAGTTAGTTGCATTTCCTTCCCTTTTTCCCTGTTGTAATCCTCACGGTCTTCCCTTATGACCTGTATTGAGATCATGATGACAAGCCATGTGCAGCACAGTAATTCCACTACCTGGATCTTGTTGAACATTTCATATTCAATATTTAATAATCTCATTGAACAATTGTTAATATTGGTTGAACAAAATAATGCAATATTGTTTGATTTGTTTCTCTTTGTTGCACTTGTAATTTGTTCCTCTGCAGTCCACAAAAGGTTACATAATATGAATATATCAGTATTAGAGGGGAAAAAAATGAAAAATACCTCTCAGGAATAGTCCTAAGTACAGACTTCTGGGGCATCTGCTGGAAGGGAGAAAAAAATCAGGTTATTTTCTGTGACAGAAATACATTGCAGAACACAGTAAACTGTGCATTAATCTAGATCTGAAAATAATCATGCAGCGAGTTAAAAATAACCAGAAATCATTAACAAAGAAAGACCCACTGTAAGGAATCCTTTGTTGACCTGCATTACCATAGTCGCCAGAGTACTGGTATTGTACCATTTTCTATTTGGAGTCTTACATCCTGCAAATATGTTCTCAGTGCTCCAAAAGACCTGACTTAATGTGTTTTTTCTCAGTGATATTGATTATATTCCCTCTCCAGATAAACAACACACAAAGATAATCTGGAAATAAATACCACAAAACATATAAAAGGTAAGTGATACTTCATAGATTTTTATCACTTCTGCACCCATGGTCCCAGATCAAATACTGAAAAATATCCTGCAGATTTAAAGCTTCTGGATTTAAAGTCATCTCTAAAAATTATGCTTTAAAGACAAGTGCTCAATCTGTGTGAAGCTTATTGATTCTGTAAACTACACTCCAGATACATTAAAATAATAATGAAACGGTTAAAACAAGATTTGTAGGCCTGGACTCTCACCCCCGGGTAAACAGTGCCAAATCACAAAGCAGAAGGATTTTCGTTGCCTTGTACCACTGATACCTGAGAAACTACACACAGTAAATCATTTAAATTGTTCAATTTCACCAGCTCCTGAGTCATACAACAAAAGGGACCCGGCTTGTCTCTGCTGAAATGGGTTATGGATACATTTACTGCCAAGTTCATTGATCTGCGTACAATTCATTTATCATTCATGAAAGATTCCAGCTCTACCCCTAGTCGATTAGATGAAACAAGTCCTATTGCCTGCCAACTGCAATCATTTGTCAGCTTCTAAGTCCCAGGAGATTGTATCTACTATTCAGTCACTGTTGCAGCAAAATTACTTAGCAAAACAATCAACAAGCTTTCAAGTTTCAATGTGCTAAATGAAAGGTCCAAATTAATCTGTGCCAAACATCTTTCAATGCTGCATGTCCATATTGAGTTTTTTTTATGTAGAAACAAAGGATAATGGGCCCAATTTTTAAAAGTTGCCATAACTTACTAATTGTAATTGTACTTACACTGTGCCTTCCTTTTAAATTTTCCTAATAATGGTATTTTCCGCATCCAAATAACTTGCCAATAATGGTAAATAAAAATGTCAGGACTTTGAATTCATAATCTAAGGCTGACACTCCAATGCTATGGTGGAGCTAATCAAACAGTTAAAATAAGATTTGTCAAAGGTGCCATCCTTCACATGAGACGTTAAACCAAAGCTCCATCTAACCATTCAGATGGGTGTTAAAGATCCTATAACACCACTTGAAAGGAAAGGAAGGTTCTCTTGGTATCCTCACAAGCAATCCCTCAGATAAAATTCACTTTATAGCTTTTTATGAGACGTTGTTGTGTATAAATTGGCTGCCACATTCACTGACAAAAATACAGTCACTACACTTTACAGAAAACTCTGTATAGCACTTTGAGATATTTTGACATGATAAGTCACTATATCAACTTGTGAGGGTTGTTACTTTTGCATACATGATCAGCCAAGCATTTTACACAAAAATAATTTAATATAACTGCTTGTATGTTGTGACATCTAATTTTCAGGATTCTTATGATAATGTGCAGACTCAGTCATCTGTCATAATGGGAGGATTATTATTATTATTACTCCCCCACCCCGAGATAATTGAAAGTTCCACAGAATGGCTATTTGTGGAGGTGGAAGGGAGGCAGGAGTTAGGTCAAAGAGGTGAGTAGATTATCAGACTTCCTGATTATGGCAGATAATTGAAATTCCAATGTAACATATTTAGCAACTTCAAAGTTTTTGGCATGGAGGAAACTTCTAGTTCTAAACTCATAACTGACATGTGATAACACAGCATCTTTCAAATAAGCTGAGTATTTTTTCTTTCAAAAATACTGTATATAAATTGATATACAAGGATTGCGAGGGAGCCTGCAGTAAAAGGGCTCCTCATGCTGCGAACATTACCAATTCAGCTGGTTAGGGAGTTGGCAGTCTAAGTCCTTGACTGAAATGAACTTGGGAAATATATAACTGCACAGTAAATTGGTAACAGTGCAATCTTTGAAATACATGTATCATTTGCACTTCAGAAAGCCCCATGAAAACATACATTGTTAATATCACAGACAGCTTCAATCTAGCAAAATCACAGCATGTAGAGCCCTTAAGATGACATAAATGTCAAAAATGCCATTTAAATTCTGAACTGGAGGAAAACTTGGAATTGTTCCATCCTCTCATCTTTTACAATCCATCATCAAGAAATATATTGTTCACTTATTTTGGCAAATATTGCTGATAAGAATTCACAACACAGTAAATGGGAAAAATATTAAAAGATTGATTTATATTTGTAGTACAGCTCCAGCTAGAAATAATCTATAATATCAATTTGTTCGCTTAATAAACCCTTCATCTCCAGTTTGCGCAAGGGTGCTACTAAAACTTGGCCTTTTGAAACATTACAAAATATCTGTGGAATGCAACCACACATACCAAGGAGTCAACAGTGATAAATCCCAGAGGATGTGGAAGTGCAGTGAGCTGCTGAATGAAGGGAACAAATTACGGATGAATACAATGGATCTATTTAGTCAGAGCTGGCAGCCTGAATGTAGACTCACTATGTATGTAATAAATTTTCACTTCTACAGAACATCAACAGCCAACAGTTCAACAGTCACAAAAAGAACTTTGTAGCAAAGTTGGTCTGTTTTATAAATGGCTTAGCTTTCAATTTGTTACAATAAATTGTTTCTTGGGCTATTTTATTAAACTGTACCATTTATTATATGTATAAATTGGATTGGTAAGAACATGGAACCCCTTTTTAAGTATGTATAACTCACAGACTGGTGAATCTTACCAGTTAAGGATCAAAAGCTAAACTGAACTGCTTTGCTGGAGTTTTTTTCTTAAACACTTATTAAGAAAATATGTTTAAAGCTAAAGGAATAATAATGTAGAAGTTATAGCAAATTTCACCACCTGAGGATCCAATTTCATATTTCCAATTTATTATGTGTCAAAATAGACCCACTGTGCCAGAATACATCAGCACCATATAATTTTAGATTTTTTTTCTTTTTTAAGTTTTAAATTTTCATTGATGTAAGAAGGTAATGTTACTTAGATTCTCTATACTTGGCATGCAGCTCTTTGCAGTGGTGGTTGGTATTTTACAGGTCTCAGATTTCAGCACTACTGTTGTAGCGATTTTACAATGTTGCTTATGTATGGTCTTGGTGCCCAACAGTCAATCTCTCATCACTTCATTGATCTTTCCTAGGTTTCCATCTTACCCAGTCTCTCCCTGATTTATTTTACAGGAATTCCTGTGGAAGTTCTAATCAAAGACTAATTGCTCTACCCGCATAACTTTCAGACTGCAATCACAGTTAAATGGTATCATCCCATCCATTAGCTCTCTTCTGCGCAAAACAGGAGTCCATGAAAATAAAAAGATTGACAAAATGAAGCAGCTAATTATTGTTTTTAAGTATAGATACCACCCCATGTGATGTAAGCAATATCTAAATATGATTGTTGATGGATTATGGAAAACAACCTATTCGGATACAATGTGACTAAGATGACCTAAAATAGTACCGCGGAATCCTTAATGTCCACCTGAGCAGGCAGATGTGCTTTTGGTTTAACATCTCATGCAAGGATTAAAATATCTGCCAAAATCTAATAAACGGGCTCGTTGGGTTGAATGGCCTCCTCCTGTTACTGTTTTCCTATGTTTATGTGGGTTTTAAAATATATGAACTATTTCTGCAAGTAAGATCCTTAAATCTCAGAATTGTTTTATTATGCCACTTAGGAATCATTGGAAGTAGATATGTTCCTATCAAGTTTATATGGTAACTTTAATGTTTATTTGCATACACTTGCTAAGAATGTACAGTTATGCTTGAACCATTGTTCCTAATTTGTTCCTGCTTAAGGGTAACTAAGAGGTGCAACGTAGTATGGATATCATGCAAGTCAAGTTGATAGATCTAGTCTTTCTTACTGACTGTAAACAGTTTTATTGACATTTCTTGTACAATGATCTGCATGAATAAAAGCAATGTATCCAGATATTGTATAATGGAAAAAATTGCATAAAAATGGTTCAATTGTCTTTGCTTTTTTTGAGCTTATCAAGATAATTGGAAATGACAAGGTAAGATCTTTTGTTTGGTTGTATACACACATGTCAACATAATTTTGCATTTCATTTGAAATATTATGTTCTGTAACATACACTATATATTAAATCTATTTTTCCATTGATACAAAATGTGTCACCTGTAATACATGACATCATTATTAATAGTAACCACAATAAAGCTGTAAGCCAAAATGGTCCATAATCTTTTATCCTGAGACAACTGATGCATCCAATAACAGAATGAAATATGGATAACAGATTCCTGATGTAGCAGCTGTCACAATGTTTGATTATAATAGCACTCTGCTCAACATCACTGCACTTAGTGACAAGTGGAATTTCAGATTCCTATTCTTTTGAAACTTACATGTAAAATATCTTGGAGGGTGATTCTCCAATTGTCATTAAATGCATCAAACTTTGTGGATGAACAGGTCTCATTCTCCATAATTCAGTACATTTCTGATTGTGATGGTTGAATATATAATGCATCATAGACCATTTTGATACATGGTACAACCATCAACATACTATAAGCTGTTCATTGCTTTATATTGTCAATCTTACCTGTTCATTTTCTTCTTCATCACTGCTGATTTTAAGATCATCCTCCAGCATTCTGTCAATTAAAATAGGAAAAAATGAAAACAAGATCATATTAAAATGCAAGGATAGTTTTTAAAGGAATACCTATAATATAAACCAATAGTATATTCCCTTGATGAATCTTGGGTGTCTTACTTGCTGCAACACACTGAATCAATATCTAGGAATGAAGATACTAATATTGGTTTTGACTGGTTCCATTATTTCTTATTGCTTAAATAAACAGTAGTAAAGACTAACTGCTACAGTATTTCTGACACAAGGATTATTAATCAAAATGCCAGTTTATTTTCCTTTTACAAAACCGTAATGATATTTAAATAAGTTGATAAAATGTGAACGGTAAATCTTGACAATAAAATAAATAATAAAACAGCATCATTTGGAGTCCTGTAGCTCAGTGGTTAGAGCGCTCGCCTTGCAAGCGAAACACCTGGGTTCAATTCCAGGCAGGGCGAAACCTTGGGCAAGTTTCATTACTCCACACACCTAATAATAATCCCTCCAAAACAAAACAATAATAAATTGGTCATCTTCAATCCACGACTGTTTGTGGGACACTGCTGTGTACAATTGGCTGCTGCGTTTCGCCCACAAATATACAGTCAATTCACTTTACAGTCTATTCTGTGAAGCGTTTTGAGACGTCGAAAAGACGTGAAAAGCGCTATATGAAATGCAAAGATTATTATTATGATCAAACATTTAACCAGGTTGCTCAGCTGTAATAAGGTACCACAGGCTAAATGTGTTTAGTACAATTTATTCTTACACAAAGAATAAAGCAACTAAAATATCCATGAATTATATCCTTCTATATTTATAAACTAAGTAACAGTATTTTAAGAAACCTTTTACAAATCTGGAATGATGCTTCCACGATGCATGAATGTTAATCAGTCTTCTTATTTCACACCACTGGCTATGAGAGAACCATATGCTCTTTACAATTCAGTGGGGCTCCGCATATTTCTATTTAAATAACAATAAGAAACCATAGGTAGCTGCATAAACTAAGTCGTACTTCAAAGTAAACACTAGGACCAATCAAGAGTTCTGATTAAAGCACAATTTTCAGTCAGTGAAAACAAGTGTTATTAGAAGAAGCACATTCTTGATCCAAACATTTACATTATAGGTACAATCTCTCACTGTAAAAAAAATTTTTGGTTAGGAGGAACAGATAATGACTGAGGAAATTATGAGGGCAAAAATCACCTAATTATTGAGCTGAAGAAGATCAGCACCATCTGTTCCTCGAGCCACATGTTTTTTTTTAGCAGTTTCTAATTCAACCAGTCTGTGTACTACACTAAATATATACACTAGAGGAACACAAAATCCAAACAATTACACAGATTTATTTCACCAACTAGTTCCCATTTCCAGGAGTTTACTAACCTTATGAAACTCAACCAGAAATCATCATCAAAATATTCAACTGAATTTGTTCAAAATTAATATTTTAAAATAGAAAAATTGATTTGACACCTTTACATATACATAAAAATGGTACATCATTACAGTAACAATACTGTATTGCTGTGATAACGTGAACTATTTTGAAATCCTGCAGTATTTACAAAGAGCAAATTAACATAAAGCAATATTCAAGAACTGAACATTGTAATGTTGCTGATCATAATTCTACAGTTTAGTTCTTTGGCTGTAGGTTTCAACTAAAAATACGGCAGAAACCCTACTGCTCATTGAGATCATGAGATCAGAAAAGAGTTCTTCACACAAAAGGTTGTGAAGATGTGGACTGCAGTGCCCCAGAAGACTGGAGAGGCAGAATCAATTTGGATGTTTAAAGGGAGATAGATAGATACTTAGGAAATAAGGGTATTACAGGAATTGCCAATTAGTGACGATTCTCCTTGAGGAAAGATAAGCAGCATCTCCTTGGCAATGAGGAATGTCAGAATCATATCAACCCTCTGAGCCAGACGGTTCTGTGCATCGCTGACAACAGACGAGCAAGCCTGGCTCATTGGCAAAACCCCGACTGACCAAAAAATTGTTTGCAAACTTCGAAAGAGCTGTATTTATGAGTACACAAACATAAAGAATTTGAATCCCTTCTATCTGAGTGGACCTGTTTACTGTTCTCAGTGTCACCACTATCTCAATCAATATCTTCTCAAAATCTATCAAATTATGGAAAACTGCTCGGCTCATCTTACTGATTCAATAATGTTTTTCATATTTGTCATTATTAAACACTTGACTAAAGTTCATCTATGGGGGTAATTTATCTTGTTTTACTATCATTCTCAATTTCATATGCATGAATGAGTATTAACTTAGCCACTGTAGCAAGGAGTCCTCATAGGGCTCACTAAAATCACTCCAATTAAACAAAGATCAATGGCCCAATGATTTTGAACATTAAATTGGCATTTTAAATATATGAACGATAACATATCTGTTAGTCAATGCCATGTTGCATTGCATTCTTATATAAGAGCAGCATGCTGCAAACATATAGCCTTGTACCCCGCATGACTCAAAGGTTAAAATTAGGTTAAAAACTTATGTATGTTAGTAGCCAACCAGCAGTATGTTGTACAGCTCCAGGTATTGTATTCAGTGGAATTACATAGAATGTTACAGTAGGGAAACAAGTTGGCTCAACTAGTCCATGGCAATGTTTTTACTCCATATGAGCTTCCACCTTTCCTAATCCCCATTTCCATACCCCTCTGTTCCCTTTAACTGCATGTATTCATCAAGTTTCCTCGTAAATACATGCATCAAGTTTCCTCTTAAATATGTTGATGCTTTTTGCTTCAACCACAGCTTTTTATAAAATTGTCAATTTTTTAAGGGATAAAGAAGCATTGTTAATTAATTTATCAGGTAATAATCCAGCATCACAAAGCACAAAAGAAAAGATCATGGAGATTGAAAAAAACATATGAAACCTGAGATTGGATTACTCTTCTATTCATTTATGAGTATCTGTCTTCCTATCGCAGATAAATCCAGTGTGTGACAATGTAGAAATCTATCACGATGCTTAAGAGTATTTTTAATTTGTGTCTTTGTGATTTCTTTAGTTTGTGTTTCATTATACAGAAGCAGTTAAGGTGCAAAGAATTTTTTTGTTTTTCTTTCCTGGTAAATGTTCTGTCCTTAAGCAGTAGGGGGGTCTTTTCGAAGAGTAGGATTCTTTTCAACCTTGCTACAAAGTGATAGGCTTGTTGATAGATATACCAATCCTGGGAATGTCGACTTAAAATGGGATAAATTCCATCATACTTGTTACTGCCGACGTTTTCATACTGCTAGATATTAGATAAGGATTCAGCCAAATTGTAGCGTAAACAGACTGTAAAATCAGTTCTCAGGTCTTTTCCTCACCTTATCAAATTTGGATTACTCTTAGATGCACTTATGCGTACCTTTCTTTCTATCTATACAATGTCTGTCTGCACTTCAAAAAGGATCTCATTAACTGATTGATGTAGAGATCATTTACATGATTTATAACTCATTGGAAAGGTCTTTCAACTGGGAGTGACATGGGCATATTTCTTTTTGGGTATCTCCCATCGTTTATGGGTTATTTTCAGTTTTGCAGTTTTTGCTGCAGTTACACCTGGTGGCCGCTGAGTCAAAGTAACGCTGTGTCATTGTGCATTACAGAGCACCTACATATGTCCGTACCCACTGCAGTTACACCTGGTGGCCACACCAGCTGACTGTGGCGCTGTGGCATTCTGCGTCACAGAAGATGCACGTAGCCAAGCGGCAGCGTGAACAAAATAAAGAACACAGACGAAGCTAAGCCACAGCAACAACACAATTACATTTTTAAAGCGCTGAGTCCTCCCACTGAGTCCTCCCAAAAGGAGTCTCCTCTCACAGGAGTCCTCCCAGCAGAGTATAGATAAAGACGAAATGTCTGTCTGTGTGCCTGTCTGTGTGTCAATCTACATTCCATACTGGATCCTTTGGTTGCGAACAAAGTTGCTAGTACAATACAAATCCAGTGTCTGACACATGTTGTAACTTATCACCAAGCATAAGAATATTTGAACCAGTTTGAGTGTTCCACATATCCATGTCACCTAATCATGGAAAATTGCCCTTGTCTGAAATGGAATATCTAGTCTATCCCTGGAGGGATGCACCCTACTTACATAATGGAGTACAAGTGGAGTCCTGTAGCTCAGTGGTTAGAGCACTCGCCTTGCAAGCGAGACACCTGGGTTCAATTCCAGGCAGGGCGAAACCTTGGGCAAGTTTCCTTACTCCATACGCCTAATAATAATCCCTCCAAAAAACAAAAAGAATAATAAATTAGTAATTTTCAATCCACGAGTGTCTGTGGGACACTGCTGTGCGCAATTGGCTCCTGCGTTTCGCCTACAAATATATAGTCAATTCACTTTACAGCATATTCTGTGAAGCGCTTTGAGATGTGTAGAAGACGTGAAAGCGCTATATCAAATGCAAGGATTATTATTATTATTATAATTCCGGAAAGTATTAGGCACAGATTTGTGAGAGCCAAGGCCTGCAGACTCCAGAGTGCGGTTGTCAGAGTTGTGCACTCTTGGAGTTTAACCAGCTAAAACCACACAGCTTGCTGTTGAGAGCTGTCTGGCAAGCTTCCTGCTGCTTGTCCTGCTAGGGATTTGCCTCGTAGGCCATGGACCTCCACTGGCTCAGGTACAGAACTACAGAGACCACCACACACAGTTGGCTCGATTCCGACATTCCATAGCCAAGCACGTCCTCCAGACCACCACTACTACTACCTATCCCTTCTTTATTAAATAGTGTGTTTTGCTACAAAAATTGAAATTTATCTACTTTCTTATGAAGATTTCCTGATCAGTGGAATCAGTTTTTTTCAATAAGAAGATATTTTTCAATAAAAAAAACTTAATGCCTTCCTACTTTGTAAATATCCATATCTAAAATTAGTATCAGCAGGTACTGGTTTATCTGCTAAAATGCATGACTATCTTCCCTTCCCCATATACACCGTTTAAATACAAA